TTTAGCCTCCAATTTCAAACAGCAGCTGAGATATGGACCTCTAGAGGTCGAAAAAATGGGACATTTCAGGCAAAATGTTCTCCAATTTCAAATAACTTAGATAATTGAGATAAAAGCAACATTTAAATTTCTTTATATAGCCTAATGGTAAACCTCTAAAGTTATACAATGTTAAATATTGTTAAAAAATTCTTAATGTCAAAAACCGGAAATGGCCACAAAATCAAATCTGTATTTTTTTTCTCTCAAATTTTTTTTATATATGGATTTAGAACTAAAAAATAAATGAGCAAAATTTTAAGTTAGGCCGAGCTCAGGTTTAGGAGATATGCCATTTTAATAATTAGTCAATTGTAAAAATTCATAATAAATCATTAATTGTTAATATTTAACCTAAAATCTTTTATATATTTAAATAACAGACCTTCGGGGGTACCATTTGCATAGCCTGGCCCGGATTTTTTTTAGAAAATTTCTGTCCAGCCCAAGTTGGCTCGGCCCGGATTTTTTTAAATATATATTATATTTATTTTTAATTTTTATAGATAATAAATGGAAAGTTAAAATATTGGGCCCATCTGGGGTATTTTTAAAAAATTTTTTAGGCCTGGCCCGAGTATATTTAAAAAAATTAAAATGCGACACCATGTACCCGGGCTTAGGGCCTGGCCTGCAGGTCTTTTATTTAAATCCAAGATAAAATAAGGTGGGTGTGAGGGGTATTGTATGTAATATATTTATTTCGTTCCTAAAATTCTCATAATTTAGATAAACATATACGTTGTAAAGACCTAAGAAATGTACTTCTTTAAATGATTAACTAGAATAAATCATACGATAAAATTTGCATTATCTGACATAAAAAATTAAGAAATATGTTTTGAAAATTTTTTCAGAAGATAATTTTAATATTAATAATGAATGTGAAATCATTAAGCAATTGAAAAATAAATTTGAAACAACACATTTACAAAAAGAAAAAAAAATCAGATATTCACTGTTTTACCAAATTCTTAGATATTTTAGAAGTAAATCTTTTGTGATTTTATGCATAAAAATCTTTCTTGGAAATTACAAATTTTTTTAGATCTTTAAAAAATGTCCCTATCATCAAAGAATTTTTGCTTAGAATTTTGGGCAAATAAGTCTTCAAAAAATTTTCTTTTTTTTAACTGCAGAAAATTATAAAAGTAAAGGGTTTTCGGACCATTAGAATAAACTAGTTTAGGATCTTATATTAGCATATATAAAAGTGAGCTTTAATAAATTTAGAGATTTAAGATCAATTTTTTTTCTAAATTAAAATTGGTTTTCTTAAAATCAATTTATTTTTTCTGATGGTGTAGTAATCACTATATGAATAAAATTTATAATCTAAGCCATTGTGAACTTGAAGTTGGAATCTAAGCGGAATGGAATTTTTTCGTAATAGCCCATGGTAAATATTACCAAAGGGTTAGCAGAAGAAGCTACCTTCAGCGTCCATGTGAGAACCAAATTATACCTTAGTTATTTTATTTTTTATAAAGCAAATATCACTAGCACATGTAAAAGATGATGAATATGAGAAAATATTTTGTTCAAAAGGTCAAACCCATTCTCGGAATCAGAGGTTTCATGTTTTTATGCCACTTAAGGAAAATTAAATTAAACTTAAACTATTTTCACATTGTGAAAATTATTGAATCTAACAATGTATAAAAATTAAATTGTGTCTTTAATAAATTATAATCAAAAATTGATTTGTATTTTTTAGTTATTTTTTATGTGGAGAATTCAATTCATCAAATAAATTAACCAAAGTTCCCCCTCTCCACCCCCCCCCCCCCCAATCTAATTTTCCCTCTATATCATGAATAACTAATATTTTAAATATTAAACATAAAATATTTGATAGCTTTTGACTTATATTACAATTATTGATTAATATCAAATATTTATTTAGAATATTTGCAATAGACTAATGATTAAAATGCCATATCTCCTAAATTTGAGCTCAGTCCAACTTGGAAATTTGGTTATTTATTCATTAATTAATCCTATATCTATACATAAAAAAATTTGAAAGAAAAAAATGCCGATTTGATTTTATGACCATTTCCGGTTTTTGACATTTAAAAATTTTAAAAATAATCAATATTGTAAAACTTTAAAGTCTTAATTAGGCTATATAAAGAAATTTAAATGACGCATCTAGCTCTTATATCTAAATATTTAAAATTAAAAGAAGAGCATTTTGCCCAATATGCCCCATTTTTCTACATTTAGAGGCCCGTATGTCAACCGCTTTTTGGAGTTGGAGGCTAAAATTTAATTTCTTTCTTAGTTCTAATATAAACAAACTGAAAAATATGAGGAGGTCGGGTTGAGAATCGTGTTTGTTTGTCATGGAATTTTAATTCACCATATATATGTTGGGATGAATTATAAAATTGTAATATTTAATAAAGATTATAATATATTAGATTTTTTAAAATAAATATGAGAGCCTTAAGATTATCTGGCAATACTACGATGTGGACTATCTATATCCCTGCCATACTGAATACAGATTCAGATGGGACACTTGTTGCAGGAGGCGCTAAAAATTTACATGCAAGTTTTGACAAAGTTGGATATTTTTCATCATTAATTCTCCAATAGTTAAATGGATCCACAGGGCTACAATAACAATATCAATGTTATTAGAGTATCTAAATAAACACAGATAAAATTAGCATTTTTAAAATAGTGGGTTTGATACAAAACTAACCTTTTTTTGGATTTGAAAAATAATCAGATACCACCCAAACAAATAGGTTAATCATAACCCAACCAAGCAATACTAGATAAAATATGAAAAATATGTTATTATACCGTCTAGATATATTCTTTTAAATATTCCTTGATTTCTTTCAGTATGACAGGTCATCTAAATTACTATCGATTTCAATTATTTTATTTGTTACACTAGTTTCTCTTTGATTTTCAATTCAAATAAATAAAATTTAGGGTGTTAAGCAATTCCATTTTTTTAAAAAAAGATTTAGAATCTTTCACTTTTTATAAAAATTAATAAAAAATCTTTTTAAATATTACAATAATCTAAAATAAACTACATTATATAGAACATAAAATAACTAAAAAAAGTAAAAGGATCGGATCGGTTTTTTACAGGTATCGGCCCAAATACGATATTATTTGAAAACGCTAAATATCGGTGCAGATTCGATCTCATATTTAATATAGGCACAGCCTTATTTATAACCAAAGAAAAATATTGAAAAATAATTTCTATATTTATTTTGCAATAAAATTTTTAACGCAAGTTGTCGCTAGACTCTTTTAAAATTCAAAACATTTTTATAAAATCGGTTTTGATAGAACATTTTATTTGGTTGAACAGCATTAAAAATCTCTTGACAATAGTTAAAATCGGTAGTGCAATCATATTTACTCCACAAGGGAAAAATGAAAAATTTTAAACAACAGTTTTACCATATATATTTCAATTATACCCCGACAATTTTTGGACTGTTTATAATCATTTTCTTCTTTATATATATAAATCTCAAATAACAACAATTTAAGTTGATATAATATTATTGAATTTAATAAATATTAATCGATTACGTTAATATATATTATAAATTGATTAAGTTAATATATTAATCTATTAGAGATTAATACATTACACGGTAGGATCATAGCCAAAGCCCGGCGGCGTGATGTAGCGGCTCACAAGGCTAAACATACTTTGAAAGTTTTTAAATGATAATAAATTAATGTAAATATTAAGTATTTGAAATGTTTTAAGATATGGAAATTTTAACTATTAGGACACATATTATTCGCCATGCCTTATTTAACTTAAAATGCCCAACTATTTGCCTTTATTACAATATTGGTAAATAGAAATACTCTATATGCTCTATATGCAATGCTTCCCTTGCTTATATGAGCGCTTCACTGATATGAGATGATAATTAATAAAAACACTGAATAATTTAATTTCCATCCCAATAGACAACATTCACCAATGGACAATTTGCCCCTAATATATCCATTTTTTTAAAGTCTACGTCATAAAATGCTAATCCAGGCATCTGAAGCCCAAAGAATTAATTTTTTAAAAAAAAATATTATAATTATTTCTCTTTTTTAATGACTAAATTATTTTTTTCATAATTTATCCCCCCCCCCCTCTTTTTATAATATATTTTGTATTTTATCTAATGCTGTAAATAAGGTCAATAAGGTAACGCCGTTATCTTTTTTGATGAAAAGGAACGCCATTCATTATCTTCTTCAAGAGGTAACGCGTTTCTTTTTTTTTGAGCAACGGTAAAGCAAAACTTTATTCTTTACTTTAATTTTTTTCTTAAAAAATATAGAAAAAACATATTTTATTATATTATAAAATTATTTTATTTTTTAAGTTTTATAAATAATTTAAGCCAGTTTTTAAGTCAGATTAACCATCAAATTCCTTCATTTTTATTTTAGATTTTCGTTGTTAATATTCAGTCAAGATTGTTAATCTAATTAATATTGAATCAAACAAGATATGTGAATTTAAAATCTTTTTCTCTTATATTATAATTTATTTTATAAAGAATATTATGTCAAATTGTACATATTTCTACTAAGAAGATGATTTAACCAGCCCTACCCCAATATGAAACATTTTTTACAAGATTAAAAAAATTAAGTGTACAAAGTCTACATTTTGTAAAATTGTGTCCTCCCAACTCAAATATTTCTCCAATTGTGGAATAAACATGGGCAGTCTCGAAACTGTACAGCCATTTTTAAGGAAAAATGGGAAGATATCTGATTAAACCAGTTATAACAAGATGGAACTCTTTTTATAACTTCGTAAATTAATATATTAAAGAGAATGTAAATCCGAATTGCCCAGATTTTCAGATAATAACAAGTCTTTCTTAGATATATTATATGGTTAGTATTAATTAAAAAATATGATATATATATATATAATTTTAAATGTGATATTTTAGAACATTTGGAATATCTCACTCCCAATTATATTGTAAGCCAATGCAATCCTGCAAGACATAGATAAAAGGTATACAGTTGAAATATTGTTTACAATATTTTGATGATATTTATTTTTAATAGATTCGAACACATCTATAAAGAAGAATATATACTATCAGCAATAATTCACCCGCTATTTAAATTAGATTAGCCCTAGAAAATTATAGATCAACGAAGGTAGAAAGCTTGAACCTATTTTTAATTTGAGAAAATAGTTTGACAAAGAAAAAGCAGACTTTGATTTAAAAAACAACACACACCAGATTATTTTCCGAAAAGATAAAAATATTTTGATGAGTATCTGGAAGATTCTTTTGAAGATGATCTATTAAGCTCTTTTCAAAATAAGGATTATTCTTTAATTTTTAATAAATTCCCCCAATTAATATTTTTATATATTAAATATAATACAGCCATCCTCTACGCCAGTTAAACGTGTATTTAGCACGGCGAAAGATGTGTTGAGCACTCTCTTGTTTATCTGATCAAAATTTTGAAAATCAAAATCTCATCTTATAATATATTATTTTTGTATAATTTTAGTATTTTTGTATATAATTTTCAATTTTTCAACGAATAACGCGCGTTCCTTTTTTCACAAGGTAACTAGCAACTGTAACGCGTTCCTTTTTTAAAGTAACGTTTACAGCACTAATTTTATTTAAAAAATTTAATATTATTTTTTAAGCTCCATTTTAATTTACTATATTAATTTTCTATATTCATTTTTACCATTTTTTAAATAATGTAGATATTAAAAAAATTTATGACATTCAATTAATCAAAAGCAAATACAAAATAAACATAGCATATCATATGTATTATTAACAAATCATTAAAACGATGGCATTATAAGTTAATAATTGTATTTTATTTAATCTAATATTAGGATCGTTTAAATCTCTTATTGGGAAAATATATTTAAAATAATTAGTGGCATTTATTGTTATATGACCTAGTGTTTGCAGTGAATGAAATGTATTAGTTGTAGTTAATAGTATACTCTATTATATGATCGATTCAAATAAATATCGAATATTTACAAAAAGCTCTTTATCACTCTATTTGAATTTATTTAATGATAGAGATTGAGAAATATAAATTACAAATGAGGGTATTATGCTGTACACATATGGATTTTATAGAAGGGCATATAGTAAAATTCCTATATTTACCCTATTTGAAGATATAGATTTTTAAAAGAAAAAGTAACTTAGAAAATCAGGCCATTAAGAAACGATCAATAAAAATCAATAATCTATGTAATTATAGATCTTTTCTTTTAAACTCATTGCCCCAATAGGATTAACCTTATTATTTTTCACAGAAACATTACACACAATTTTTCAGCACAAAGTCCCTCTATTTATCAATAATAACTTATTATATTTAATAATTTATTTTACATATATTAAAGTTGGTAGGAGAGTAAACTTATCGTTACGTAAAATTATTTCATTTAAAAAAAAATTACCTTCTATGAGATCGGGACCAAGCCCTATGATGTGCTTTAACCCTTACGAATATTGTGCAAGAAGGGTTATTAGATTTGGCTAAAATTATTGATTTTTGTATTATATAGTAAAATTATAATTGATATAAAAGAAACCATGTGTTTTAAGTCTATTTCAACCTTATAGTAAAATGGATTGCGGTTTTCTCAGTGCAGATCGATAGTTATTTTAAGTTTTAGATTTTATTTAAAATCCCTCCCTTCTTTCCTTTTCTCATTTTTTTTGCTTTACTCAGTTATGTGCTAGCCATACATATTTACGAATGTTAATATATCATTTTATGCGTAACCTGTAAATGTGATTACTATATTTATATGAAATAAATATTCTCGAACTTTTAAGGAAATATATTTATCTGTCAAATATCAATTAGAGTAATTACAAAAATTGCTATATATATTTTTTAAAAGTTCTAAAGATCCTTTTTATTTTATTTATTATTATAGTAGTCAATTTAATACTCATTTTTATTTAGCGGAAATAATAGGATCTTTAACATTTTTTATTACTTAATTTATCCCTACTTAATTTCTAAATTTGAAGTTACCAAATCTTTCATAAAAAATAACAAATATATTATAATAAACATTCCAAAGTTTAACAATAAACTAAAATATCGAACAGGTAAGTTAGTTTGGTAAACCATATTCAAAAGTTTTTCTAAAATACGATTTGATGATTTCATTATATTATTTATGTATACTAGTGTACCCCGGACACTCATAGATGGGTAGGGGGAGGACTTAAAGAAGAATTTTTTCAAACGCAGAAGCCTCTAATTATTAGTTTGGCGTCCATAATAATTTTCTTTTGCAGGAGGCCTTCGGATTTTGCGGTATCTGTGTAACATTCATATTTTCTTACAGATTTTAAAAAGCTTGTTTTGTTTTGCTGATATATTATTAAATACACATTCTCGTCTCATTAAAAGAGACAATTAAATGCCACCTTCACATTCCAGTCTGTTGGGTTTACAAATGAAAACGTGTTGGATCGTATCTCTTTTGCTTAAAGTTTATTTAGGATGTCTCAGAACTGGTTTTAAACAATTGCTGATTATCATGCTAGGTTATATCAACAATCACTTTTTTTTAAACTCATTATTTTCAATAAATTATAATGTAATATTTCTCAAATTTTTATGATCAGAAAATTTTCAACAATTTTTGAATTTTTTTTTGGTATTTTTGATCGCTATTTCTCCTATAAACATATAGAATAAATAGTAATTATTTTATTTTATAATTGTTTTTACTATTTAGTGGACCTTTTAGCGTTGTTCACCGATGCACCAGAAAAGACACTTCCCGCCAAACTTTCGCCGTTAAAATAATTGATCTCAAAAAGTTCAACCAAAGCCCTTGGTCTAACCAACAAGGTTTCGTTTCGTTCCGTTTATAAAAAGGAAGGAAAGAAAGAGAGAAAATAAAACGAGATAGAAAATTTTATTTAATTACTATCATTTGCAATTTCAATTTCAATTTAAAATAAAAATATTATTAAAGATTTCAAAAGCGAAGCTTCCATATGCCAAACCCTGAAACATCCTAACATAGTGGAACTCGTAGAAACTATAACTCAGGACGGATACCTCTACATGATATTCGAATAGTAAATACTAATTAGTTTATGTGTATGTGCATATTTATTTTTATATGTGATTAGAAAGGAAGGAAGGATTTGGAAATTAAGTTTATTTATTTAAAATTAAAAAAGATGGAAGAATGGAATAAATCGAAACTTTATATATGTATATCAGTTTATACATATATTTTTTAAATAATAAATTAGTTTGGAAGGTCCTGATATATGCCAAGAGATAATTAGAAGAGCTTCGTCCGGTTACGTATACAGCGAGGCTGTAGCTAGGTATGTAATATTATTTTTTGCATGGGCCAAAAAGATCAATCATTTTAATTTCCTTTTTAAATTTTATTTAAATTTCAATTCAAAAATATCCCCCCCCCCCCTATATGCTTTTTCATAATTAATAAAAAAAATTGAAAATCATTCTTTTTTAAAAAAAATTTATTTTAAAATGACAATATAGTGAAGAAACGTTTATTTTCATTTTCTTGACCTATAACATAACATACAAACCAATTCACGGTTGATTTAATTCATTAAAACTGTTATATATTTATTTTTTATTTACCAATTTTATATTATCAATTTCGAATATTTTATGAATCAAATGATGCATTCATTTTCTTAAGATTTTTACTTTGAAAATAAAAAAAATATGAATTTTCGGAATTTAATCTTTTCAAATTTTCATCGATTGGATTAGTTTTTTTTAAGAAATAGATTAACCTTGTAAGAAACTTTAAATTAAATTATTTTTTACTGGTTGAAATAAAAAAAATAGACCAGTACAATCTAGAACTAAAAAATATATATATTTGTAAAGGAAAAGAATATAACATAAGAAACATAACTTTTGCAAATTAAAAATCATTAAATAAATTGATTTTGGTATTTTAAAAATTATCGAAATTTGCCAATTTAAAATTTTCTTTGTAAAAAAATTTATATAAAATGAATTATGAAAGAAACATTGAATGAATGAAATAGAAGAATTCTGAAAACATACTTAATACAAAAAATCATATAAATGCTTAATCGACTAAAATTTGGTCAGATTCATAAAAACAAACAAGATTTTTAAAATTATATTTTGTAAAAAATTAAACTTACTATCTTAGCAGTTTTGGAATTTAAAAAGTTATTAATTCGCTTAAAATTAATTTTCTCTATAACTCATTATTTATGAAAAGTCACTACCTTAAGCAATTGCTCGAAGCCCTCAAGTATTGCCACGCTCTTGGCGTTACTCACAACGACCTTAAATTGGAATGCCTACTCTTAGCTTGTAGGGGTCAGGATTCGGCTGCTCCTCTTAAGCTAGGTGGTTTTGGATATGCATTTAAAGGTAAGGGTCATCAGAATTCCTCCCAAAACATTAATTCAAATTCTTCCGATTCAAATTCCTCCGGAAAAAAACCTTTCATTAAGATGAAACGAACTCCTAAAACCACCACTACAATCATATCAATTCATGACGATCCAGAGAATGGTAATAAATAGTAGTATAAATAAATCTCTATATATAATGGCCGTAATGTAGTTGTATTCAGGGAGCCGGGTTCAAGGTAAAAATATAGGTGGGTTCGGTCAAGAAAATAATTTTGAACCCGGTTTTTGTTCCGGGTTCAGTTCGGGTTTAAGAATTTTTGAGATTAAAAAAACTATATTTAAATCATAATTAAACTAGACATAAATTTGGTATAAAAAATAAATTTTTTATTTTATTTATAGGCAAAATATAGTTAAAAATACAAAGCATAGTCATGTATCAATTTTAAAAATTTTATTTAGACGTATTAGCATAATATCTTCCATTGTTCATTCATTCTCGATCTATGTGGTGAAAGAATGATCAAATGTGAAAAAGATCTTTCAACGTTAACCTATATTAAATATATTTATGCTAAAATATGATAAATTAACTTGGGTTGCAAGAACAGCTAATATGATTTTGGATAAAATATATAAATTAGGGTGCTCCAGCTTAGCACACTCCTAAAAATGGGAAATACTATTATTCTTATCTAATCTTTTAAAATGGCGAAATCCGGTAATTGTTCTAATACTTTTCTCTGTTTGGCCCTCTTTTACCTGCCTTTCTTTAAGTTGTATCAATTTCTCTAGATCTTGTTCAAACTTCACCGGAACTTATATCATCAGATTAAATCGCCGTTGTTATGCATTTAATCCGACTCCATAAATTGACAAGATGCCTTTTCGCACAAATCTTATCATCATCACTAAGTAATATCTGTAATATTTAAGGATTTATACTGTTTATATTTAAATAAATGGCAATTCCATAAAATAACAATTTTAATATAAATCCAAAATATTTTTACTAATCTTTTAATTAACTTTGTATCTGGGGTCCATGTATATGGCGAGAATTTTATTCTTTATAAACCTTTCTTCTCTGCTCTTAAGACAAGAATATAATAATTGAGAAAAATGGTTTGAATTTTTTTTAGTTCTAACCATTCTCTGCATAAAAATCTGTCAGCGTTAACTGTTCAGATTGGAATCGTTTGGTTACGATTTTTAGTGGTTTTAAAATTTTAACAATTTTTATTATCTCCTTCCAATCTTCAGATAATAAATAATCAGATTGCTCTGAAAAGAAATCTTCAATATTGGGTTTGAGTAAAATAAGCCTTTCTAACATATCATGGGTTGGATTCCATCCTTGGCAATCTAACACAGGCTTAGGGAGTTTCATATTTTTTTCAATAACTTTTGATAAGTGGGATATCTTAATTTTAAATTTAAGCCTCTAGCCTTTGCAAGATTATCCACAATGGGTGATAATTTTATTGCATCCTGAAGTGCAAGCTGAAGTATATGAGCTGCACAACTTACACTATAAATCCAATTGGATAAAATAGTTGATAAGAAAGTATTCTGTACATCATGATATCATATTTATATACATTCACATCCATATTTTCATTATCTGCTGATTCACTCCTTATATCATAATCAATTTCAAGCTGCAAGAGCTTTATTGATAAAATTTGCACCATTGTCAGAAGTAATTGTGTATATTTGTTCAATATTAATTTTAAATTTTTGTAAAGTTTTTAGTATATTCGCTTTTTTATATTGACCTGTACTTTTTTTCTTTCAGCTCTACAATTCCAAGAGTTCTCAAAATTATAAGACTTTCATGTAAATTTAATATTTACACAAAGAATTGACCTGTTTAGTCATTGATCTGCATCAACTTTTAAACTTATTAGTTTTCCTTTTACCTCTCTTGATATTTTGTCTCTAGTGGATTGGGCTGTTCTATTAATAGTTCGGGATAAATTTTCTTTGTTAATAACTAAATTGAGTCCAGATAAAAGTGGATTTATGATTCTTTGAAATCCCAAATCTTCAATAATTGATAAAGATCGACCATTTACAATAACAAGTTCTATGATAGAACTCATCAAATAATTAGATGTTAAATTTATATTTATAGATTTTTTTGGGAAAAAGGTTTCTATATTAATTTTGGGTTTTTTTGCAAATAACACTTCCTGATATTTTGTTCTATCATTCAAATAATTTAGATATTCAATGTTATGATTTCTTTCCAGATCTTTTTCTAAATTTGATTTGAAAGTTTAATAAATGTTCCTATTCATCATTTTATTATATAGATTTAAGATCAAAGATAAAATCATATTTGAGACGCAATTTACTCTATTTATTAAACTTTCAAATAAAAGAGTTAATGAGAATAAATTTAAACAGATATATAAATTTAATTTCAAATATGCTCTTCATTAATATATGGTAAAAGTTAATCTGAACAAAATATAAATGATTAGCATGTGCATATATATATAAAATGATTTTAATAATTTTACAAAAACTGCCCTACATTTTTGTTTAACAATTTTAGATTTTGAGAATTCTTTAAATTAACAATATCCGATATAATAATTTTTACTTTGACTTGTTCACTTTTATTTTCCTCTAATTAATAATCTTTGAGAATAAGTTAAAAATTAAAAATAAATGGCGTAAATGAATTTAATTGTTTTAAATTTATTAACACTCCAATAGAAGAATCTTTGAGGAAAAATTAAAAAAAATTTTAAAATGGCGTAAATGAATTAAGTTGTTTAAAATTTATTAACACTTCACTTAATTGGAAATTTAAAAATATTATAAAATCTCAATTGAATTATTAATATTTGTATATACAATTATACAAATATCTTAATATATGATTTTAAGCAATACACTGAACCCGGGTTCGGTTTGGGATTTTGGAAATTTTATAAACGGGGTTCAGGTTTGGTTCGGGTAAGATTATTTTTCAAAAACCCGGGTTTTCTTCTCCATCGGGTTCGGTTTGATCCCTGGTAAAATTGTTTGAAAAAATTTCAATGCGATACTAAATATTGTACACAGAAAATTGTGTAAAGAGACTATATCTCCTATTTATAATACTGGATTAGTCAAGTCCGATCCGGCTTTATCAGATTCGGTTTTAAATTATTTGTTTGGTGCATTTTAATATTTTTGAAAATTTTATCTATACATTAGTATTATTATTAATTAAGTATAATATTGTATACCTTTTTGAATTGTATATCATTTATAGTTTATTTTACTTAGTTAAAAAAAAATTTGTCTAACTTTTCGATTCGTTAATATTTCCTAAATAAATTAAATATAAATCTAATTATTATAAAAATTAGTATTGTCCATTTATGAGCATCCTATTATTTATATATGTTAGCTTCAATGTGTTATTTTCGGCAATCAGTACATTGCCTGATTTTTTTCGGCAATGTGTTTTAGTGGTAGGCAGGGTGAATTGGTTATTTCGGGATTGTATACATTGCCTAAATAGCCATGTAATATTTTTTTGAGTTAATTTATTTATTTTTTGATATGATTTACTATAGTTACATTATTTTTCTAATATATTTTTTGAGATAATTTATTTTAATGTTTTATATTTTAATATATTTATGGTTTTATATATTACTCTTTTTTAATATAAATATGTTTTATATTATTTTTATAATATATTTTTTTTGAGATAATTTATTTTAATGTGTTATATTATTTTTCTAATATATTTTTTGAGATAATTTATTTTCATGTTTTATATTATATTTTAATATATATATATATGGTTTTATATATTACTCTTTAACGGTAATTTTTAATATAAATATGTTTTATAAATATTATATAGGTAGTAGCAGTTACATTAACAACAAAATCCCTGAATTCGCCTTTCCTATATTTAAAACAAATGATGAATTATTTTCCTGCTATTCGTCATTGCCTTAATTTGATAAAAACTCGCGATATAAAAATTTAGATGATATTTATTATAATTACATTAATGACCTAAAATAGAAAAATATCTACTATTATGATTAAACTTTATTCTTCATAGCAGCGGGAGGTGTTTTTTTTCAGGAGAAATCACAATAGCTCGCAGATATACAAATAAAACATTTTAAAAATTAATTTACTTTTTCTAAAATGTTATTGCTAAATAGATTCAAATAAAGAATACTGCATCCGTTGTATATCAATGTCTATAATATCTTTGACATATATTTCAAATCTGTTAATAAATATATTTTAGATATTTATTTATTCTTTAGTGAAATATTTAAAAACACAAATTAGAACCAATATTGAAATGTAAATCTATCAAAGTATTTTATAGCTTTTCGAAATAAATTTATATGAAAGTATATTTATAAGTGAAATAAATTTGAGTATTTTTCTCATTTCTCAATGTTGCTATATAACGCAAGCCCTCCTATTTATATTCATTCTAAATCTGAGTTTGCTTGGCTTACCAGCATAAGATTTAACTTTATTAAATATGACTATTAATCAGTTACATAATGTATCTTTTAACCTAACTTATGCGTATTATTTTGATATGAAATTTTAATTGTGTCTTAAAGCAGCATTCCTTTTAATAAAATTCTTTATTTAAATAAAAATCCTTACATTTATTTCAATTGCGAATATTTAATGTTAAATGCTCCCTATATTTCAAAACTGACATTTTTCGTAATTTTTAATAACATATTTTTTATACCAAGCATTATATTATTATTTAAAGTTAATAAGGATAAACAAGATATTCCTTTATATCTTTCCTTTTTTCTATTCACAAAAAAATTGTCTCAATTTTATATATTCGAATGTATTCTCTGTAACTAATTAACAAATATGATTTCCTCTTCTTATAATTTTTCATTTAATAATATATTTTTGAGGATAGTGACGTTTTTTATGATGAATTATAAATTTTCAAACAATTATATCTCAAATAGACGAGGAATAAAAATCAAAGGAAATTTTTTTTATCCCTCAAAATTATCTAAAATTTTATATAAAGTTTACTTTGTTGGTCAGCGTTGCTCTAAAAGAAAATTCTTGTCAATCTAGCAACTAATTTGATCAAACAAAGATTGCATATATTTAAATATTATTTGCCCACGAAGTCCTATAATTGAGGCTTCAAATTCAGCATTTTTTGCGGTTTTGGGCTTTTTCTATTATTTTGAACAGTATTCTGAGCAGGAAAATGACTTTAATGATTCATTAACATCCTATCTCGATTTAGAGGTATCAACGTTAACTAAAATTGCTTTGATTTCTTTCATACTTTTGAATAATGTATAAAAAATCATATCATTTCACATGTTGTGACATACCTCATTATGGTCAAAATATAAAATTTTTTTTAGATTTTCTCAGATTCTCAGTTAAAGATATAAGATTAGGTTGATTGCCGAAATATCAATTCACCCTCAAAACTATAACACATTTCCCAAAAAAATTAGGCAATGCACACATTGCCGAAAATAACACAATGACGCTAACATATATAATATCATGTTTTTATTTTTGTATATTTATTTAATTTTATTAATGATAAGCGGTGAAAATGTTTAACGTCTTATTAGTCTCCAATTCTAAAACAGCAATATTTTTTGTTTATTAAGGTTTGAGTTGTTTTTTCGTATGAGCACTCCTGATAATTCAAAAGGACGGGATTATTTTGAGATTGTAAATTTTTATATTCACTTTGATTACACATTGTGTACATATGTTAAAGCTTCCTTAACACCGTCAGATGAAGAACGTGTTCCTCACTTTCCATCTCCCGAATTACTACTATCCAACTCCATCAAAAAACATTTTTGTCCTCAAACTGGACAAACTGATACTAGTAACTACAACGAATATAATAAAAAATTAAATCCAGAGGCTACGGATTATAAATTGCCAAAGACGTGGAAGACTGATAACAATGAAAAGGAGGAAAATTTAAAGCTGGAGGATTGTAAAGTGGAAGAGATGGAAGAGATCGGGAAAAGTGACATGTGGGCTTGTGGAATTATATTATTCGTGCTTTTAGGAGGAAATTTGCCATTTTTCGGAACTAAGGATATGATACACGCTCAGATCATCAAGGGGCAGTTCAAGGTATATATATATATATATATATATATATTAGCGTCAATGTGTTTTTTTTGGCAATGGGATATTTTACAACTTTAAATAATTTTTTGAGCGCGTTTTTTTTAATTTAGAAATTGGATTTTACCTGAATTATATTCTATCATGTTTGGCATACCTATCTTATGAATTGTAGACAATTTTGCTGAATCATTTATAATTTATATAAAAAATATATGAAAAATCCAATATAAATTATATTATGTTAAAAGATTCACGGAAAAATTGTCTGAAATTCATGGGGTAGGTATTCCAAACATGATGGAATACATTTCCAGTAAAATCAATTGTTTAATTTTTTAAAAAACGTTCTCAAAAATTGATTTAAAGTTGATAAAATTACACATTGCTGGATACACATTGACGCTAACATATATATAGTATATATACTAAATTATATGGAAGGAATAAGGAAGGAAGAAAGACAGTGAGAATGAAGTATAAAATATAAGAAATAAATAAAATGGAAGAAAAGATTAACATAATAAAGAAAAATAAAGTATTTTAAAAATAATACCTATTTTTGCTATAAGATGAAACCTAAGCAATGGGACAAAGTATCAGATACTGCAAAAGACCTAGTCAAAAAATTGCTGGATACCGATCCAGCGAAAAGAATAAGCGCTCAACAAGCTCTACTACATCCATGGATAGCTGTAAAAAATTGATGATTCAATTTGAAATTTCAAAAAATATTTATGAGGAAATTTTAAAAATAAGGACGGTAATAATTAATAAATACTGAAAAAAGGAACAAAAGGAAGAAAAAAATAAAAAAGAAAAAGAAAGTGTTTATTGCTTTTCTAAATATATTTAAAATTTTCTTTTGTAAAAAAATGAACTAGGAAAGAGAGAAACATGCTAAAAAGACACATTTATACGATTCAGTGGAAGAATTGAAAAAATTCAATCTCAGACGAAAACTTAAGGTTAGCTTATCATACTATATTTTGTCTTAGAATTTATCATTTTTAAGGGACTGGTCTTTAACTTTAAAAAAAGATTCTAGGAAGTTAAAAAGTTTGAACAAAATGTATAACTATTTTATTAACTACCCTATACCTGATAAATTCCCTAACAGGCTTTCAGTCTAACACCCCCATCATATCTCTCAGTCAAAATCATTTTCATCCAAATTTTTTATATTAAAATATTTTTGCAACGATTCTGTTTTTCAGTTAAAATTCGAAATATCTGGATTTTTTAAAAATCATTTTCATTAAATTTTTTTTGACATCTTTTTTTAATGATGCAGAAATTTGGGCATGTATAGAGATCACAGGAATGAAGGCCTTATTTTCAAGAAAAAAAGAACTTCAGAATCTTTAATCTTAGAAGACAAAATCATTATAACTATTTAGTAGGTTATGATGTTTTATGCCTCATATATTTTCAAAATTTAAAAGCCCTTCATTCCCCGGCATCAAAACTTCCCATTATAAATTTATGATTTTATTAATCGTTGCTCTAAAATATTATTCCTCTCTCAAACTTATAATATTTCATCTTTTTTTTTGCACCATATTTTTGAATACACAACCTACTAGTGGACGCATTTTCAGGAATCTGAACCATAACGAATATCGGCTTAAGAAGTTCGCTTCGTAAAAATTAATAATAACCGTTCGGTTTGAACCTCAAAAACTGGATCAAGCTTTTTCACATACAAGCATAGTGTTGTTAAACGGCTCGTTTTGAGCCGATTCTTAAAAACGACTAACTCAGTATTTTATCCAGGATAGTATTACGCAAGCCTGAAGATTTTGTTTGTAGAAGAAACAAAGGTTTGGACATCTATTAGCGAAATCTCGAGTTTTAGGTAATTTTTTTCTGGCTAAAATATTGAGTTAGCCGTTTTTAAAAATCGGCTTAAAACGAGCCATTAGCATATTAAAATTATTTAAAGATTATTTTTTAAAAAAAATAATATTGAACCATATACAATTAAAATATCAAGATCTCTTCTATTAAATTATATCTATAAGAAGAAAGAATAAATCTTACGACTGAGAACACTTCAATTTGTTAACTTAGGTAATTTCGCCGTCAAACAATATACAAAAATATCTAAATATAATTACTAATTTATCAGCCATAACTGATTATTAATCATCTTTAGAAGATTTAAAATATCAAAAGGTTCAACACATGAATTTTTAGATCTTTATCAGGTTTGGGTGACAAATTTTTAACGGTTCGGTTAGGTTCATTATTAAAGGTTAATATCGGTTTAATGGTTCGAATCAGGTTCAGGTTAAATCCATGCATGTTTTAGCTTTCAACATTTCCTCTCATATGCCATATCTCCATCCTTGCATTATTTGGTCAAGGTATACGTCATATCCATAAAGTAAAGATAGAATATATACATAGAATGATAAACAAGCAAAAAGTACCCTTCATCTTGTTAGCAGCTTATAAATTTATATACATATTGCCTATGGATTTATAATTGATATTAGTTATATTTTATATAACTATTTAATTATAAAATATTATCAAATAGTATTGTATTTCAACTTAAATTTAAATAGAAGATGGTATAAAATTTTATTATAATTTATACCTTCTCTATTGCATGAATGTAATTAACAATTTAATTTTATAACAAAATTTTTTATAAAATATATCTCATTTGGCTATAAATTTTTTTACCCCAAGCACGTAAGATTAAATTTTTTTAACCAGATACAAATATTTTGGTGTAGATCAGTATTATCAAACCTTTATGATTGATATTGCCATTTTCATCCGTGCAGGAAAAAAGTTAATTTTTTTTAATTATTTGGTTTTAGATCGAATAAGGCGCTGAGTAGTAGACCACTTTTACAAAACCTTTGGGAGTAGTTTGAAATTGATTGTGGAAAAGAGGAAAAATTTAAAACAACTTGAATTTGGACCGTATAAAAAAATATATGAGTGAATGTATTTTTAAATAATTTTTCTTGAACTAATGAATAACAATTTAATAATTAAAAAAAATATGCCCCAAAAGAAAATAACCTTTGAGAACGGACATTAATTGAAGGGCCTAAATATTTAAAAAATTGGGCTAAATAATAAAAAATATCCAAATAAGGCTCAGGCCTATAATATTAAGTAGATTTACCTCAATTAAGAATTTTCAAAAACTAATCCGTGAATACTGGTTTTTCTAAACTTAAATATATGTAAATTCTACTGACATTCCTATGCAAACATCCCCGACAATTTCTTACGTATTGAAGAATATATTTTTACAGACCTCAGTTCACCCATTGGCCATGAAAAAGCAATTTTAAATTTTGGAGAGGAATTTTTCGTTAAATTTGAACTTATGAGAGAGGACCTACAATTTCTTTCCCTCCCATTTGAACCTTTTATTTGATTTAAAAAAATATTTTTACATCTAATACCCCTATTCCGACTAGCCTCCATTTTTATTCATTACACCTTGTTAGACCTCTAAATTAATCATAAAAACACTCATAAATATAAAATTCGCATCTCTATCTTGGAGGCAAGCTTCTCTCCTTTCAAAACATGGCCTGTTAGAATCACACTTACCTATACCCCTTATCCATGTACTTGGCTTAATACAGCATCTTGAAAATCCTATTCGGCCAACAGAATGAATCTAATTAAGAATTTCTATCTGTCTGCAATTAGGCGGTAATATCGTTCACACTGTTTACTTTGTGTTATATAGATCGATAACCCTTACCATCAAACCCTTTTTATCTCCTATGCTGTTGATTCCATTGTATCTAACTCTGATATCCTAGCGAGATTGCCCTCACTAATTGGACAGTGCTGTGGTGTTAAAATTTAACAACCGGTTCGCTAAAACATTTATTCTAAATGAGTTAAGTAATGAGTCTATACTTATTTAATTGTTTGCAAAATAGGTTTAAAAGACCACTGCTTTGCAAGCACAAGTTGGATATGGATTAAGTTTTTATCAACACTTTATAAAACGAAAAATATGTTAGCCCAATTATTTCAGTTTATTTAATTATATTTTTATATTATAAAAATTTTCATAAAATTAGCATATTTATTGAATGTTTAGTTTTATTAGATTTACGAATCCTTATTTTTGTACCAATAGCAAGTCATAATTTATCTATAATTTCACGATTGATAACATCATCTCATATAGAAAGGTGGTGCGGAGGGCTTCCGATTTAGCAGATCGTTGTATAGTTAAAATTTACCCAATGACAAGCTATTTTTATGGTTCTATGTCAATTCTACTTTTACCGCGAATGTCGTTTATCGCGAATCCACATTTAGCGAAGACAATTTCGCGAATTTTTATAGTGAAGTCATTACAGCGGAACCAAAATCGTGAAGATATTATTTTGAAACATTTATTTTTATGATCATATTAATTTAAGTTGTAACGCGTTCACGAAGTTCATTATTTCGGAAAAAACGATGAACCACGTTCCTTTTATTTTTGACCAACTTTGAACGTGAACGCGGTCATTTTTTACGCTCGTTCAATTTTAGAAAATATTCTTATTTTTATTCATTTTAAAATAAAAAATATTAATTATATACATTCAATTTTTTAATTCACTTAAAATATTAATTTTGAACATGTCTAATATATTGCATATATAATATTTATCAATATTAAATGAAATTTAAAAAAAGATTTATTCGTAGTTTTGAAAGAACATTATTTTTTGAAGGTATATTTTTTAAAAATTAGGTACACGATTGATTCAATGATTGAATTTTTAATTTTCTTTTAGCTTTAATAAATTTATATAATGATCAATGAACCAATATATCAATCTTATGATTTTACATCTTTATAAAAATTTTTTTCTTCTGTTTACTTAGATATAAAATATTAATTCAAAATATGTGATAGGAATTTGAATCTAATAATAAGGTGCTAAGCATAAAGTTTACCAAAATTTGGGAAGCACTAATTCTGAAGCTTAAGCCAATATGTAATGCTTATTACAATACATATAGATTAGTGCTACAGCATATATTATTTTTTTTCCTTAATTACTCAGAATTAAAACTACATAAAGTAGTTTTTACTGAATCCCCAAGATTTTGCTAAGCGAAAATGTTAATTTTCACAGAATTGAATTTCTTAGAAAATATAATATATCGCTCAGAAATTTTTACTATTTCTTTTATTTTAAGTGCATAAGTATGATTTTTGAGTTTTAAAATTAAAACTCTGAAAATTTAGCAAAAAAAATTTTAAAAAATTACTTAGCAAAATCTTCTATGACTTTTTAAAATAATCTGGGATCAGCAAAAATTTTTAGATTTCAGTGTTTTTTATCTTGATTGGAAAAATTTCAAAGCATTTCAGAATATTTGTTAAAATTTACTTTTAATAGCATAAAGTACATTTTTAAAATTTAAATTAAAGAGGGAGGGGGTGTAAATTTATTGTGATAAAAATTTAAACCAAAATGTCCACTTCTATACTTACGGATCCGTTATGGGGACAGGACGAGTTCCGATATTTTTTTAAAAAAAGACGACCAGAAAGAAATTGGCTAATTATTCTATCACATCAGATAAAGATTGCATGCTTACTTACAGACAATAAGTAACAAAATATCCTTGAAACATTTCGCATTTATGATTTAAGGAACTTTGGTGGGTAAATTATAATGAATATGTTGTTTTCCTTTAAATAAATGAACTCGCAATATATTTATTTTTCGCGGTAATACACTTGCGAGAATAACTTCGTACAAATACATTCGTGGTAGAATCGCTAATAAGGGTTCAGATAAAAGTTTCACTAGGATGGGTTCGCGATAAAAGTTTTGCTAAAATGTATTCGCTAAGTTCGCAGAATTGGGTTCGCGATATTACCTTTACTATAAAATTTCTTCGCGAAAAAGTGTTTCACGATAAAAGTTTCGCTGATGACCTGATACTATTTTTATCCCTGGTCTCAATTTCACTTATTAATTTGTATTTGATTTTTTTTGTTCTTTCAATAGTTTTGGAGCGTAAGTTTTCATTTAACTAAATATTACAATACAAACACAATATTTATAGTAAAGAGTACCATCTAAATTGATCAATTTAATAGATTATTATTAGTACTGTAAAGTAACGTCAGAAAAGTAAAAGAGACGCCATGCGTTATCTTCTTCTAAAGGCAACGAGTAACTGTAACGCTTTTATTTTTTTGAGTAATGGTAACGCAAATCATTACTCTTTACTTCAAATTTTTCTTAAAAAATATGGATAAAAGATATTTATTTATATAATATAATTACTTTTATTTATTTTTTAAATTTTATATATAATTTAAGCCAAGATTTTAATTCACATCAACCACCAAATTCCTTCTTTTTTATTTTAAATTTTCAGTTAAGATTGTTAATTTAATAATATTGAATTAATCAATGTATGTAAATTTATATTCTTATTAATATTATAATTTAAGAATATTATGTCAATTGTACATTTTTCAGGGAGTAAAGTCTGTATTGGCTCCAATATGAAACATTTTTTACACCAATAAAGAAAATCAAGGGTACAAAGTTTGCACTTTGTAAGTGTAAATTGTGTTCCAACTCAAATATTAACCTCAATTATGGAATAAACTTAGTCATCCTCCAAACTGTATAGCCATTTTTAAAGAAAAAATGGGATATCTGATTAAACTAGTTACAACAAGATGGAACTCTTTCTATAATCCGTGAAATTAATATAGTCTTATTAAGGAAAATAGCCACAAATATGACGAATCTTGTGATAAATCAAAATTACAGAGATTTTCAGATAATGACACGTCGTTCATAAATGTTGTATAGCTATATATATGTGATTTTATAGGATATGGAACCTGTTCCTAGAGAGAAGAAAAAATGCATTTGTGAAATCTCACTCCTACGATAACTATTATAATATTAAAAAATGACTCTAAATAAATTCATTTTGTAAGCCACTTATTAATGCAATTCTGCTAGACAAAGTTAAAGGGTATACAGTTGAAGTATTTTTCACAATTATTTGAAAATATTTTATTTTATTTCAACTTAATATATATTATCAGAAATAGACCCGCTATTTAAATCAGCCCTCATAAAACTAGATGTCAAGCGAAGGAAGCTTGAACTTATTTCGTGTTTGAGAAAAGATCTTGCAATGAAAAGGCAGACTTCCTTTAAAAACCAACACACATGAAGATTATTTTCTAATAAGGATAAAAAAATTCGACGAAGATCTGAATGAAGATTTTTTTAACGATGAGCTAAGCTTTTTTTCAAAATGAAGATTATTATCAAATTCTTAATAAATTCCCCTAATTAAAATATTTATTTATCCAATATAATACAACCCTTCCATCATCTGCGCCAGTTGAACGTGTGTTAAGCATTAAGCACTCTTGTTCCGATCAAAATTTTAATAAATTGTTAAAAATATTACAAAAATATCTTATCTTATAATATATTATTTTATTTATATATTATTTTTTGCATTATTTTTTTTGTATTATTTTTTTTTATATATTATTTAATGGGTTTAATTAACGAGTAAATAGCCAGTAGCGCGCGTTCCTTTTTTCACAAGGTAAAGAGTATAACGGTAGCACGCTTCTTTTTTAGACTTAACTAGTAACGCGTTTCTTTTTTTAAGTAACGTATACACAAATTATTATTAATCATCTTATAACGGATTTATTTTATTATAGGGAACTTTACACAATTCCGTGACTTGCTGTAAACTGAACAATTTTTACGGGGATCCTTCTATAGATGGTTTGATGAAGAGTAAAATAGTAGAAGAAGTCTACACTCCCTGTAAGTTTTTCAAATTTTATATTAAAAAAATATGGAAAATGAAAGAAATAAATAATTATTATGAATTTCGGATTCGATGAATAAAATTGACGATGTATAATACTAAGATCAGAGTTGGGCATTACCGGGAATACTTGTATCTAACTCCTTTTATATCCTATACATTTTATCTTTTTGACTTTTTAATAAGATATTTTTATCTGTGTCTAAAATACTTTTTTTTCCATTTCCTAGACAAAAGATACAGATACCTTTTATATTTTTGTTTAAAATTCAATATATATTTTTAAGATTTCTTTTCCGAAAATATTTTCATTAATTTCTCTGTTTTTTTGTTTCTCTTTTTTATCGTTTAAAATAAATATTCATTATTATCTTTTTGACACGCCAGCTTTAATGTTTTCAGCACATTTGATAATTTAATTTTATGATTTCATATTTATATTAAATAGGTGAAATAAAATGTGTTTATTTATATCTCGCTGCTCATGTTTTGACCTTTGTTTACATTATACTGTGTTAATAATATTTGGGTTGGTGACTTCTATTTGTTGATTGTATTTGTCTAAGAAAATATATAATGATGTCTCTTTTTTTAAATTATACTTATATAAATAATCGTGAGAATATTTTATTATAGTTGAAATATGTGTCTGTTGGTAGTTTAGATATTTTAAAAATTTTTGGGATAGTTCCTCTAGAGATAGATTTCTTATATTAAAAATTTATCTTTCAGCTTGTTGAAACAATCAACATTATTAGTGTTGTTAAACGGTTCCATTTAAAAATGGCTAATCCAAAATTTTAGCTAAAATATATTATGGAAGCGTGAAGATTTTTCTCTTAGATGACAGAAAGGCTGGACATCTATTAACGAAACCTCGAGACTTGTCCAATATATTTTGGTTAAAATTTAATTTAAAATTGGTTAAATAGAGCCGTTTAACGACACTAGGTTTTATATAGTATATATTTCTATATACATCTGTTTAGTTTATATATCTCTCAATTTCTATCTTAGGTGTATGATAAAATTTGTACTTTTTATTCCTTGCGACTTTGTTAAGGATGTTTATTTATTTTAATTTCATCGATATACGATACGCCCCCCCCCCTTCCTTAAAAAGCATTTACATACAAAAAACAAAACAATAAACGAACCCTCAATCCTGCCCCAGCAAGAGAACCTCCAAGTCTTCCATATTAGCTATCATGATTTGCTTCCTGATCATACCATTGATGTTACTTCTACTTCCTTCCACTGGGACAGTCCCCCCTGGAATTGCTATGACAGGCATTAAGATTTTCTCCTTACCAGTTCTTGCGGGATTCGAATTTCCCATATAAGGATCCCTCTCACCTGCAGCCTACGTTGCGATCCAACATGATGCTTCCCGAAGCCGGATGTACCAAAGCGCCGCACCACCTCGACGTATTACATGAGAGTCTTTCCATCTTGGAAACAAAATCATGTCATCAACTGCGCTCCAGAAAGCAAACGATACCTTGAACCATAGGCGGCAACCGGGAACAACAAGGATTCCTTTGATTCATGATGGTCAGAATGGAAGTGCAGTCTCACCTCGGGATTATGAGACCGGAGGAAGACCATATATGACTGTGACTTCCTTTGGGCGCCGCGGCATGGGGCACAAAGACAGTATCCGTCAGTTGCCGTCTATGGTTCAAGGGATCGTTTGCTGTCTGGAGCGTGGGCAGTTGACAACAGGATTTAGTTTCCAAGATTGAGGGATTTCCACTTAATTATATGTCGAGGTGGTTTTGATTCGTGGCTTCGGGACTCTTTAGGATGGATCAAAATACGGACTGTAGGTTATAAGGATCCTTTTATGCGAAATTTGAATCCCGTATCAACTGGTAGAGAGAGGATCGTAATACCTGTCATCGCAATTCTAGGGGTAACTGTCCCCAGCTGGAGGAAATAGAAGTAACATCAATGATATGATCAGGCAGCAAACCATGGATCTATTATGGAAGACTTGGAGTCTCCTGCTGGGTCAGGATTAAGAGTTTTTATATTTGGTTTTGTGTATGTAAATGTTTTTTTAAGAGGGGCATATCATATATCGATAAAATTTGTACGTTTTATTTTTCGCGACTTTGTTAAGGATGTTTATTTATTTTTGTTTTCATGTGTCACTTAAGAAAAATAATATTATTATTTTTGATTATAGCGATTATTATTTTTGTTTTTTTAATAAAAGATATAGAGCGAAATAGTTTCTTGTGAAAAAAATATATATATTCCGTTGCCAAATAATAAATATATGAAAAAATGAAATTAATCCTTTTGCAATATTTCGTATCTTGTGGTAAAATAAGATCTGCAATAGTAGGATCATACAATTTCTTCATAACATTTAGTTGGGATTTGCGAACCACGGGATTAATTTGACCTCCTCATCAACTTTATAGCTTAATGTGCGGAAAGAATAGATTAACTTTCATAAAGTGTATCTTGTATCTAAGATACTATTATTTAGTTCAACATACAACTATCTTATATCTTATTAATATTTTAGATTATCTGTACACAGTTTTTTTTATTCCTTCCCAACTCTCTCTTATCTCAATGTTTATCCTATTTTTTCTGCACGAAAGATTACAACGATTTTTAGCCATCACCTAACATTACTAAGAAGGAATGAGAGGACCACTAATTATGAAAAATAACAATCACTTTCATATTTAATCTTTTATCTACTTTTAAAAACATTAACCACCATTTCAATTATTTCTTAACTAGCTCCAGTCATAATCAAGTCAGCCATCCCAGATTCCAGTACAGATATCAAGAAGAGATTTATTATGAACGGAGGTAACAACTCCGACCAACATTATTGTCCTTTTACTCCCCCCAACGCATCATCCAGGCGTATTTCTAATGAGAATAATATGATTGACATATCTGCCAAGGACCTTAGTGATCAAGAAGATGATGATATTTTGACTAAGCGATTACTTCATTCAACATTGGAAAACAAGAAATTGCACTCTTTGCTAGACGTAAGCATAATTATTATTTTTGCTTAAGATATTAAGGGTCGCCAGAGTTTGACCACAATTTATGATAAGAAGTTAAGTTGTCATTTAAAAATTAGTTATTGCTTTCATAAAACAAAAACTTAGATAAGTCGTATGGCTGCAGCTCGTCTTTAGTACAACCATTTTTTGGTTTTTAAAAAAATAATTATGAAAGATTTTGATATAAGGTGACAAAGTACCAAAATAGGGTGAGTATTATTTTTTTTAGTCGAGAAAAGAAATCACTTTCAAACAGTTACTTTCTTATTATATTAGGAGCCCGCAATGTTTTATTATATTATATATCATTTTTACCATTATCATATAATTATAAGTGGTTTGCAGCTTATCTTAAAAATGAGAAATGTTGATATAAATATCAGTAACAGTCCATTTATTTAAACATCTATAGGATTTTTAATAAAAAAATTTTCTTATTTGAAGTTATATAAAAAATATGTGATCATAATTATCTTTAATATAGTAGGAGATGACATAACATTTAATACCTAATGAAGATTAATTGTTTAAAATGTGAAGACATTCATTGAATTAGCGTCACTATTGGGGGTGGGCAAAGGGGCTCGAGCCCCCTGGAAGTTTATAAATTTATTTTTTTATACCTAAAAAAGAAAAGATCATTTTGGAAATGTTAGCTAAATAAAAAATATTTTTTTGAGTCCTCTGAAATTGTAAAAGTTAGTGACGCCCCATCATTGGGTATATATTTATTATTTTTTAATTTAAATCTTTATGGGGAAAGAATTCAGATGTTAGTACATACCTAGATCACCTGCCACTCATCTATTTCAAAAATTAATGTTATTTAAGCTAGTATAAGTTTTCTCATATTATTCATTTTTTTTGCATTTAATAGTTCTATTTTATATATTTTTTTACTTGTCTCTTTCATTCATTTTTATCTTTATTTTTTTCTTCTTTTTTTAAAATGATTTTTTGGCTTTGTTTTTAAATGAAATATAGTTTGTTATTCGATCAAAATATTTTACCGAAAATCCTAATAGGTTTAATTATTATCATTTTTATATTATAGTCTAAAACTAATCCCCTAATTTTTTTCAAATTTACCAATCAATATGTTTTGGTTATAGTTGATTTATATATTTATATATATTATGCTTTAGTTTTTTAAAAAAGCGAAAATCAAATTATTAATTTGCCAAAAATCATTGATTCATCTCTAGTTATATAATTTGGAAAATATTAATCAAATATTATTTTTGAGTTAATTAGCGTTTTTTTTAAAAAGTCAATCAATATCTCTTCGTAAATAACGTGGAGTAGTGCTCGGGCCAATAATAAAATTTACTTTAAAATCCAAAAGTATATATACAATTATTTAAGAACATAATTAATTTTTAAAAAAGACAATAAATAACTTCAAAAGGCACTAATTTACTTTTAAAAATGACAAATTAACTAAGGGAATAGATAAATTATTGAACTTATTTTAAAATATTACTTTTTTAAAATATATATTATTATTTGTCGTAATCGTTTATTATTATCTTGGAAATTTTTTATTAAAATTAACTATTGTTAGGTTTTATAATTTGGAGGATTAAAAATTTACTTCATAAAACAGTTTTGGTTCTTCTCATTCTTCCTTTCGTTATTCATAGGAGATGTTTAATTCACTTTCTAACCCCCCCCCTCCCCATTACTACCTTTATATTCTTTTAGATATCCTTCAGAGATGCAAGTCACTGTCTTACCCGCTCTAAGAAACAGGAATGAGAACCCGAACCCTCGATATTTCACTGAACCCAAACTCGAACCCTTTTTAAAAAATTTAGGGTTCAGGGTCCAAGCTTTTTTTAAAAATTCATTTTTTATTTTAAACTTTCATATATTAATTTTATTTTTGTTATATTTAGGAGTCGACCATTTTTCGTAAAAATTTTTAAATTTTACCTAGCAAAGCAGATTTTAAAAGTTTTTTTATAAATGATGATAATATATAATATCTATTTTAGGATATCGTTTGTGGATTATTAAATTGATAGTAAGACAAAGAGAAGTACAAAATCACTTATAATGATTATGTGATAAATTATTTTTATGGCAATACTAATTATTATAAATTTATAAAAAAAATGATGTTTTTTTATTTTAACTAATTTTAATTAGTCATTATTTTTATGATCTCCGAACCCTAAACCCGAATGGGAACCCAAATCCGAACCCATTTTTTTAGAAGGAGGGTTCACATCCCTGAGTAGCACGATAAATTATTCGATATATTAAACGCTATGAATGCGAATAATGCGTTAGTCATATTCTTTTTTGAATAGGCCTGGAAGCGCCGATATTACTCTTTTTTTTGCCTTGCCGATACCATCTAAACCAATTTGTGGAATATAAACCTAATAAAAACTTATGTTAATTTTGATTTTAAAAAAATATTATATTTTTTCCCCTATCCACTCCACATTTAAATTTAAAAAGTGTGTTTCACTATTTGTAGTCGTAATTCGCTTTATTGTATTTCTATTCTTCTTTAATTTCGCAACAAAATGTTAAAAGTAAAAAAAAATAACTCTTACATTTTTTTTTCTTATCTGTTTAGAAGAAATTTGTATTTTTCTTCTTATCAATTCATAGTTTGATATATACCAATTTTTTTTTTAATTTATGAGGATCATTATTATTTTAGGTATTGGGCTCTGTTATCAGTTAAAATTAAAAATGTGAAGATATTTAGAATAAATAAAACTGCGGCTAGACTAAAATATCGGTCCTTGTGTTTTCTTCAAATATTTTTAAGGACGTTTTCCTTTTTAACTAATGTCTATTTTACTCTAATATTCCTTATATTTCATTATGTATAAGTTTATGAATTATTATGTCCATAGTTTATAGAATAGTTCGGACTCAGATGATATATCCTTACCATGATCTAGATTACAATAAGTATTTCAATTTTAATTAAATCTACATTAAAGTAAATTATTGTCTAAGCCATGGTATTTTTCATTTTAAAAAGTGAAGATAATATACATTTAGGATATTTGACGCCTACAGTAACGAAAATGTTACTTTAAATTAAAAAATAATAGTATGTTTAACTTATGTTAATAGATGAGATTAATAAAAATTAACTTAACATTATCAAATCAATTATGCTTATATTTTAACCCTTTTAGATTTAAGCCTAAAAAATATTTGAAGTCAGTATATTCCTCCATAACACATCTGATATCTAAACTCGAATGGCCTTACATAAGGCGTTTACAGATTTAAATCATTAAAATATATAAATTTAAAGAAACTCGTAGAAAGACAAGAAATGTAGTAGCTTCAAAACAGAGTGTCTACTCTTAATTTTTGATATTGGGAAATTTAGGCAATGATTGTCAATCATAATTTTTTGGAACAAAAGATAAAGCTTTAAATATTTAAGATAAATTTCCAGAAATAAGATCTTTATTCAGCAAATATAACACTGCAATATCATATTCGGTGAAATGCTTTTTCTATTAAAAAATTAAAAAGGCTTTAACATTTATATTCTATTAGAATAATTGAACACACACATTACATATATTTTTTTACATATTTTAAATTTCGACTTAAAAATGTATACATAACAATATAATAATTGAATGATTCTCGACTCTCCCAGTCGTACACGGTTAGTTTTTAATTATATTTATATTTTTTTTTATAAAATATAAAAACATGCCATTATTTCACAATTTTTTTTATCTTTTTGAAATGTAGTAAGGGTTTAGTGATGACGAAATCACCATAAATCTGGATTCGAATAAAGGAATTATCAAGGTTTTTTTTTGAAGCGAACTAGGTGGTTATGTGCTACGGTTTATGATACGTAGTAGATCGGATACGACCACATGATTCCACCTTTTGATAGTTTAAAAATGGTTCTTATTGCTTTTTAAAAGATTTCGTCGTTGTTTAGCAAATGATATGACGGGGAGCATCACTACTAGCCTAAAAAATATTTTATATATAAATACGTAATTTAATATTATAATTTCATTAATAATTAATGCGGGGAAAAAAGTTGAAATTATTTTTTTTGGAACATTTTGAAATTAATTATATCTTCAGTTTCTCTTTCCTTCTTTTTCTTCTATCTTTTTACCTTTTTTTTGTTTCGCTTCATAAATTATTCATATAAAATATTATATTATACAACTTTTTTTAGTACGAGAAGTCACCCGAGCAGTTTATGTTTTGAAATTTAACACTTGTTGAAAGCGAATAAATGGATAATAAGTTAAGAATTGAAATGCAGAAAGAAATAAATAAAAATAAAAAAAGAAGAAAAGAAGAAAAGAAATAATCTAAAATAACTTTACTTTCTTTTTAGAAACGTCTTTTATAAGATATCGTTTTTTTTAAATTAAAATTATCTATTTTTTCATTAAGAAAACACTCACGAGTTCCCTTGGCTTTTCTTCACTTTCCTTTAATTTTATGAAAATTATTTTTCTTAAATATTTTATTATCTCTTTTTTATTGATGAAAATTGATTACTTTTTATTAAAAAAAATTTTTTTTTTTGGTTTTACCAAAATTGAACAATTTTATATTTAGTTTAGAAATTTGACAATTCAAATATAAAGAAAAATTAGTAAGGAAATCACATAAAACTTCTAATTCGATATTAAATTGTCCCATTCCTACCATTTATTCGACTGTGATCAAGATATAATCAATATGTTGAAATGTTTTAAGTAAATGGAAGGATATAAGTAAAAAAAAGATAGAAACAAGACAATTAAAATCATATAGCTTCGGTTTCGATTAATGTTAGTTAGAGTTTTTCGGTTTATTTGTACTTTTCCAATTTGAATATCAGATATGATAGGTTTTGAGCAAAATATATATTTTTTTTAAATTATTTATGGGGTTTACTTATAAAAAATTTTGTTTTTAAAAAATAGTTTTTTTCTTTTGTTTAAATAATAAAACAATAAATGTTTTAACATCTT